TTTTTGTTCTTACTTTTGCCACGATGTACTACTTATGTAGTGTATTTAACAAGAATTCAAAAAAAAAAGTATTCCGACATTGTCACAAATATTTAGTAACGAAAAATTATTTATTTTTTTTATAGCTGTTGTTTATTTTTATTTTATTCGATGGAAGGTATTTCGTTTTTATGTTGTCTGAACAGCGGCATCCGATAACAAATAATCTGTTTTGAGATTGATTATTTACGTAGTGTTGTTGTTTTTGTACGGAAATTTAATTAAAATTTTCTTTAATCCAAAAAAATCTAATCCAAATATGATACACCGTCCAGCACCGTTTAAATAAAAATTGCTACTGTCATACCAAGAAGTCATGTTTAAACAGAGAACCAATGGTTGTTTTGGGAAATCAATATCGAATTATAGCTGCCTCAAGCATGTCCGAGTCATTCGAATTTCGAAGTTCTAGGTTCGAGTGGAAATTCTCACACATGATTAGCTCTCTCCCACTCTCTCTTGCATAGGTTTACTTGGGTTTTCTCTTTGAACAAAAGCAAGCAACAAAATCATTGCTGCTCCTCCTCTTCAGAATTGTTTTGAGTGATCTTTAAGTGTCAAATTATTTCAGTTTTTTGTTTTTATTCTTCTTTTTCGTTTTGGGATTATTTGTAGTTCACTGGTTTGTTTACATTTGGTGTGAGTTTCCAGCTGATAATACACACGCTTAAAAGAAACAAACATACACACAAACACAAGTGGTTGGTTTTCGGGATTTGACTTAGTTTCTTAGGCTCTTAGGGACAGACAATCAGTCTGTTAGTGGATCACACATGCTACAGCAGAAGGAGTTGCAGTGAATCATACTCACACGCACATATGGTCGTCAATTGCTCTTGTGTAAGAAGATATCGTTTTTATTTAGTTTCAAAAAGATAATCTTGTTGGGATTGGATTGGAATTGAAGAGTATCATCATTCTTATCAGGTGTCACCGAGTTCTTGGTGTCAAGATACTTTCTGATAAATATTTGTTGTTTTTTTTTATGACATAGGCCATAAATAATATGCATGGGAGAAATTGTTATTGGGGTGGGAGAGAGAAAGGGTGGTTGTGTTTTGAGTGAGAATTTCGAATGTGGCCGAAGGGAAGAGGTATGGGAATCTACTCTCAAGCTATTAGATAATATTAAGTAAAATATGTTATCAATGAATATTTTTCCCTGAAGACTGAAAGCCATGAAAATATTTGTTTGAAGCCTATAGGAAAAATATGCATCCATAATAAAAAATAGTTTTCCCAAAAAATGAAAAGAAATCGCCATGTATTTTTGTCGCAATTGGACAATAACAATTGCGATGAAGTCGAAAACATCTCATTTCATTGGCACAGTGATAATGCATATTGCACAGGGGACCAACTTACGTCTCGATTGCATTCGTCTCCGTTTGGTATAAATCGGTTCAGATAAAAATATATTTCCCTAAACGTTGGGCACCACTTACAAACATACTCATGAGGAAGATCCCTATTGCACAAGGGACCGACTTGAGTCTTAACCGTCATTTGGTACTCATTGGTTTAGATATAGATATATGTCCTTAAACGTTGGGCGTCACTTACATATATACTCAGTATTATCCCCCCAAATTCTATCTATGACATTTTTGTATTCCAATAAAAGTGGCGCCCAATGTATATTATATTTCTGTATTTTTTTTTATACCCTCCACCATAGAATGGAGGATATATTAAATTAGTTTTTCGTTTGTAACTCATCGAAATAATCATTTCTGGCCCTATAAACTTTATATATTCTAGATCAGCGGTCTATTTATATAAGGAAACAAATTGAGATAGATCGCCAATATTTGACATAGAGTTGTCTTTTGTCTGCAGGCAGGTCAAGTTCGAAGATGTGCTATATCGGTCCACGTTTAGGCATAGCTCCCATATACGGGTACTCCTCTATTTTCGGTAATTTGGGGGTTTGAATGCATTTTTAACTGATTTCGCTTTTATACCTTGCGTTCTTATTCGGTACCAAATCTGTCCACTAAAAATGATAAATATAGGTTCAATTTTTCGGGTAGCCCCCACATAAGGGTACCCCTCAATTTTCAGTATTTTGGGGGTATTAAGCGAATTTTTTCACTGCAAAAATCACTCCACCAAAAATTTTAAATATAAGTCCGCTTTTTCAGGTAGAACCCATATCACGGTAACCCAAAATTTTGGAATTTTGATGATTTTCAGAGCGTCTTACAACCGAATTCGCTGAAGTTTGATGCTTTGGGTTCTCATTAGATACCAAATCTCTCCACTAAAAAATACAAATTTAGGTCCATTTTTTCGGGTAGTCCCTATATAACAGTATCCCCAAATTAGAACCGAATTCGCTACAATTTCCTATTTTGTATTCGTATTTGGTAATAAATTATATTATTAATAATACTAGTCCCATTTTGGTGGTTGTCCCCATATAACCCCCTTTTCATACCCTTCGCCACACTGTGGTACAAGGTATTATGTCTTAGTGTATATGTTTTTGTAACAGGCAAAATGAAACGAGATAGACCCATGGTTCCTTTTGAGAATATGCATAGAATCCGTATACATAGAGTCCGTACGTCTGCTGAAATTAAATTGTAAACAAAGTACAGTTCGCATTTATAATCCGATTTTGATGAAATTTGGTACAGCACAATATTGAAATTGGTGAAAACCGGTTCAGATTTAGATATAGCTCCCATATATTTTTTGTCCGATTTCATGTAAATGGTGTACCAAAGTCTCTATATTTCTTTCGATTTGCACGAAATTTCGCTTAGCGCAATGAATTGTGTCTAGAATGTTGTGTGCTAAGTTTGCTAAAAATCGGTTCAGATTTAGATATAGCTCAAATATATAATATTTTCGACCGATTTAAAATAAATTGTACAGCAAGGCCTTTATATTTCTTACGATTTGCTCGAAATTTGGCATTGTGCACTCAATTGAGTACACATTAAGTTTCGTTGAAATCGGTTCAGGTTTACATATGCTCCCATAAATATTTTCATCCGATTTTATGTAAATGTTTCTAAATCTGCCCGAATGAAATCAAATTTGGCATAGGTTGCAGAATAACAAGTGTATGGATTCATATTAGTCGTTTCACATATAGATAAATATCACATATTTATGTTCGTTCAATTTCATGTCAATATTGCTTCGAAAAGGCGACGTCTGTTAGTATACATATGTAAAATATATCAACGTTCCTTAATGTTTTTTTCGGAATGAAATGTAAATTTATGCCCAAATTGATTCAGATGTAGATAAGACTTCAATCTATGTCCGAAAATGTATATGAGCTTAAAATGGCGGCTAGACTGAATTTTGTTCAAATCAATTCTGATTTATATATTTCCTACTTTGAAAAATAAAATACAAAACAGTCAGCCTCATTTTAAACATTTTCATTGGCCAAGGAGGAATTTCCAATCGAAGGGGCTGTAATTTGGCATTCCGGATTATTGAAGTTTTAAAAAATTCCTTACTGAAAATAAAGATCCTGTCCCCTTTATAGTATATTGAATGACCTACGGAATTTTAGATCCCAAGTACCTGAAATTTTGTTTCTACGACAATTAAAAATACGATTAATATTTTGAATAATCCCCAAAAGTGGGTACTCACATACCTGGTGTTTTCCATGTTCAATTCATGACCTGACCGAACTCAACGACGATTGCCCAGATCGACTTCAGAGGGTCGTATTGGAAGCAATCATTTGAAAAAGAGTCCGATGTTAAGAAAACCATGAGGGATAATTGCAGGTGCTACACAAAAAAGCGGACCTATACCGACACTTTTTCCAAGCAGAGTTTGTATCTCACTTTACAATGGAAATACTCAATTGTAATCACTTTAGATGAAAAATCTTTCTAAAATATTTGAAATATGACTTTATGTTTTGTCATATATTTGGGCAATAAAACTCTATATTTGGACCCTATAAAAGTTCTACTTAATTTGAAACATTTTCATTCTCCTGGGATGAATAGAAGTGGCTTAAATTGGCATTCCGGATGTAAATGACGTGTAAAAAATATATTCATGGAAAGTTTGCGACATTGGTGCTTTGATAAGGTATTTTGGCATACAAATAATGTCCCCTTTTCAGTATGTGGAATTTTGGAACCAAAAATCTTGAAATTTCGTTTACACGACGCTCAAAAAGGCGAGTAATGTTTAAAAGAATTTCTAAACATAGATACCTGGTACTTTGATAATCAAAGTCATGGACAGATCGATCGACAGTCTAAATTGACTCTAGAGGGTCATATTGGCAACAATAAATTAGGAAAGTGACCGATATAATAAAAACCGAGTTGGATCTTTATAAGTGTTATATAAAAAAGTATACCTATACCGAAAATTGTTTCCAATGCGACTTTGTAACCCGTTGGCCGCTTAAAATAATAAAATTCGAGCCATTGTATAAAAAAATAAAATAAATAAAATAAAATATTGAAATCCTTAAAATATCTATAATTTCGTATACTATCATATGGGTGCGGTTATATAGGCGTTCCTTATAGATAAACTGAAGGCTGCCTCTATAGACCAATTGAAAGCTGTCTCTATGGATCAACTGAAGGCTGTCTCTAAATGCAGCTGAATGCTACCTCTACAGGCCATCTGAAGGCTATCTCTACCGGCCACTTAAAGGCTTTCTTTATAGATCAGCGGAAGGCTGTCTTTATAAAAAAACTAACGGCTGTCTCTATAGACCAACTGAATGCTGTCTCTACAGGCCAGCTGAAGTCTTTCTCTATAGGTCAGCTGAAGACGGAAGATAATTCAGAATCTATAGCAATTTGACTAATTGTTTGTTAATGTTACTTAATTAATTATTATTTTTTAACATTTCAATTTAGAAATTACGTAATTAACAATTTAATAACAAACAACTTTGTTTTAATATGTCTCATAAATTCCCCTAGTCTATTATAAATGAATTTCTCAATACTTACCAAATTCCAGGTTCTAAAACTAAGCTAACCGTTTCGCTGGCTGTAAATTTATGACCTGCAAAACAAAATGTTTGGAAAATCAAATAAATATTTATTAATGGCAAATGTTAAAAACAAATTAAAAAGAACAACAACAACAACAAATTCAATTGCAGCATTCCATGCAATAAAATCATTAACGAAAGCGAAGAACAACAAATAGTTTACCTGATCTTAGTAAATGTTGAATAACTGTGACCATATCACGAGATTCACGAATATAGAAATCCGTTTCTTCAACCGATGTGAGGTTAAGTTCTAGGAGAGGAGAGAAAAAAAATTATTAAAAATAGTTTCAAATAAATATTTCATAGTTTTATCCTACCACTCATAATTTCACCAATACTCTGTACAATTGGCACCACAGGCATTTGTAGCATTTTCTTGACATCCTTGACGGGGACCAAAGCCCTTGACAAATCACCCGATTTATAATTGTTATATTCCTTGCGTAGATCACTGAATTTATTATAGTACGAAGGCAATTCGATATCCTTTACACAGGCCTCACGATGTAAACACTGACGCAGGGGCAATTGACCATCGGTAATGATTTTAAAATCGGTATCCAACAACGACAATGAACGTAGATATTCATCGAACTGTAATAAAGAGAGAACATTAGTAAATATTGTTGTTATTTTTGTAGGTTTTAGAATACTATTAATTTATTTCAAGTGTTTTAAAACACAGTTCAACATTTGTTTACTTAATAGGTACGTTTGATCTTTTATTTGATTTGTGCTATTTGATTTTTTATTGTTAAAATGCAATCCATTTTCGGCAATTTTTTCCGATCTTTGTTTGCTAAGGTACTTCAAATCACTTAGCTTAATTCAAAAATCAAGAGGTTTCTTTTTAATTTCAAAACTCAATTTCCTTCAATATTTTGCCAGATGTAGGCAAATATTTTTTTATAACTGTAGTTTCCTAAAAATAGGCAACAAATATCTGTTTATGACTTTTACGTATGAATTAAGGCCAATGACCTGAAACTAATGACTAAAAGGGCATTTTTTTATAGACGAGCTAATGGAACTTTCATTATAGACGATTCAGAGGGGAGTATTTTACAGACGAGTTAAGGGATGACTGCATAAGGAATCTACACAGTTTATTAAGGAGTTTGTATAGACAAACTCTCTAGGTAGTCTTTACAGACGAACTTTAGCTCATGAAGTCTGTATAGTCTAGAGATGGGAAAGAAGGGTTACAAATAAGGTTTTCAAACAGAAGATAATTGGGCCATCAGGAGTCATTCGAAACTTATGGAGATAATGAAAATCAGGAAGTCCGGAAATCTTATAAAAAATGTGTCCAAGATAAAAACATCCGGGTCGTTATAAACGTTGTAGAATGCATGGTGTATTCCATGAAGTCATTCATAGACATGGGTGTATTTCATATATGGGATGAAGGTCAGAGAGTCCTTCATAAATCCGCTATAGGTCAGGTTGTCTTTCATAGCAAAAATTCTGGGAGTTTTTTTTATAAACGAGTTAGTAGCCTTTCGAAAAGGAGCTTCAACGGGAGATTAGGCATTTCGGCTTTTGAAGAAAATTTTTTGGACATAGACACTGTATAAAAGTTCCGCCTCATTTGATAGGTGTTTTGACATACAAATCCTGTCCCCTTTTCCGTATGTTGTAGTACCTAACGAATTTTAGACCCAAGAATCTGCAATTTTTCTTCTACGACGATAAAAAAAAGCGAGTAATGTTTTGAAGCATTCCCCAAATGTGGGTACCAACATTTCTGGTGTTTTGATTTCAATTCACGACCTGACCGAACTTAACGACAGATCGACTCCAGACTAGATTTATAGAAAAGCTGAAAACCACATTCATGGGAGACTTCAAAGGAGTCTTTATAGGTCATATGAAAGCGGTCTTATAGACGATTTGAAGGATAAGAGATTTTCTTTATGGATCAGATAAAAGTAGAAGCTGAAGGTCGTCTTAAATGTAGGGGTATTTGCAGAAAAGCTGAATTCTATTTTTTATGTATCAGCTAAAAGCTGAAGGTGGTCCTTACAGTACCAGCTAAATGTGGTGTTTTATGTGTCTGAAGGTGGTATTTATAGACCAGCTAAAAGTGGTATATATGGGCCAGCTGAAAGTGGTATTTCACCAGCTGGTCTTTACAGGCCAGTTGATATGGATTATCTTCTTTGGTCGAAGTTTTTACCCTCCATATTGAATGTCAGACATATCGGGACTATCAACGTTTCTTTATCAACCAACAATCCGGAATGATATAATACAGCCACTTCGGTTGGAAAATCCGGCTCCAACTTTAAAAATACCTAAAATAGGGCGGGAACTTTGAATTGGAGCTACGTCAAAATATAGACCAATGTGGAAGGTTTTTAGCCCACCAAAAATCCGAAATGCAGTCATTTCTCCTTAAAAAAATCCAAACTACCGACAATACGTTTCAAGAGTGCGGTTAAAGGATTAAGGGGGAATTTTCGGATTCGGACGATTCTGTGGTCGGAAATCTTGTCCGCCGTCAAAAAGAAGGGCTTCTCATTTATTACAAAAACAACAACAACATTTTGTCAAATAATTGTCTTATCCTTTAAATCTTCAAATATAAAACAACAACAAAATTATGTCAAAGTTTGGAAGTTTCATATATAGGGGCCATGCTAAGTACATTTTTGCTTATAACTTTGGTTTGGAATGATACCAAAATTTCAGAGAATATAAATTAAGGACCGTAGTATCTAAAAACGTAAAGAACTTTAAAACATGCTAAGTCGACTTAGCATACTATGTTCGGAGGCGTCGATATGCAAAGTTACAAGTTTTCAATATAATATACGCTAATTTGCCAGCCGTTTGAAATTCGCCAAAATCAAAACATTTAAAATGCCGACATGGTCATTGCGTATTACGGGGCTATACCACTATTTGGATCGATTTCTCGCATTTCGATACCAAACATCCAAGGGTAGCAAAACTCCATGTGATTTCAGCAATGGACAGATTGATAGATAGACCTGCCTAAATCCACATCGAATTTTATTCCGATTAGGACAATATATACTTTATGTGTTCTCCGATGATTATTTTTATGTGTTTCAAACGGAATGGAAAAGATAATATACTCTACTCCTTATAGAGGAGATAATAAAAATAAACTGCAACAGAAAACCGCTGTAGAACGATATAAATGGGGAAGTAAATCCGAACGAAGCCTTTAATTTAATGTGACTTGAAACCGTGTCTTTATAGGCTAATATAATTTGCAAGGCTTTATAAATGTGCAGTTAAATTGTCCTTTATGGAGAATGCAGGATCAGGGCATCTATTTGGGTGATCTTAGTCAATCTCTATAGATTTTTTTTTAATAAATAATGGGAGAAGGTTTTTATACACGAACTAAATTTTATAGCAGATCAGATGAGAGTCTAAATTGTAGACCCGATGTCCGTTATTACGGATGACATCCCCCTTTGCATTCTAAAAATAAATTTATCAAACCTCTATCTTCATCATAATCAAATTATTGATGCAAAATGTCAATTTTAAAATATCATTGCTAGATTGCAATTTGTAGCGACATACAAACACACACATCATTCACATTTATTTTTATTTCCTTTTAATTATTTTTATTGTTATTTCTATTTTTCAATTCGAATTTGTTATGCCTTTTTGTTGAAAGACAAAAAAACGCGTGCCAAACACACGCAAAGTTTTGGCATATTTGCGTGACAGCGACTATTTGCCGAGATGCTATTTTTGTTGTTGTGTTGAATTATTGTTTTGATGTTATTGGACAAATAGAAAAAAAATCACAACACTCATACACACACATCAAGTTAAGTGGCAACACCACCTCCACTGCCTCCCAAACAACTAGCCATCAGCCAACTGACTTAAATGCAGCAATCATAATCGTTTACAACCTCAACAATTCTAGCAGTGTCATCATTATGTCTATATTTACACTTCAGAATATTACTGTTGCTATTGTTGTTGTTGGCGTTGGCAACAAATAAACGTCAGAACCCAACAACAACAAATCTATAGTGCAATAAAAGTAACCACACACGTAGTTGATACGACCATCACTTCATCATACCATTACGCCATACACTTTTGTTGTAATCGTGGGCATGACAAGCAGGAAATTCATAAAAAGGGCTGCTGAGAGAGAATCGTTGCCGACGATCGCATATAACTCCACGGAATTTTTTTGTCAACACATTTTGACAGCACATTAACCTGTTGCAAAATGTCAATAATTTCAAAAGTCATTGTTTATTATTGTTGTTGGCTTGTGAAAAAAAAAACATTATACACCATATTTCGATGTTTGTTAGACCCTAGATTTTCCAGATTATCTCATTTTGTTGAGGTCTGGAAAAATCTATTTCTTTGATTTACTCTCAGAAACAAAAAAAAACAAAACATTTCACACTGTGTGTTTATCGTTGTTGGTATAACTTGTTGTTAAAATATTTACCAAAACTTAAATGCATTTATTGCTAAAATCGTCTGGAGAATATGTAAATGTGTGAGTGTGTGTGTAAATAGGGAATTTATAGATTTTTGTATAACCTACACCACAAGATGGAGGGCATACTAAATTCATCATTCTATTTACAACATTTTGAAATACTTGTCGTAGACCTGACCACTACTCATAAACTTTTTGGTATTAAAAATGGGATATATAGGTAAACTTATTAGGGTAGCCTCTTTGTAACCCTAACCCCCAATATTCGGTATTTTGAAGCATTTTGGCACATTTTTCAACCTAATTAGCAGTAATTTGGTATTTTAGATTATCTTTGGGTAGCAAATTTTCCTACCACACCTTTTCAAGCAACATTGGTCTACTTTTTACAGTATCACAGTACCTAGCAAAAATCGATATTTTGGACCACTTGAACCAAAATGGCTTTAATTTTAAATTTTGGGTTCAATCTTCTAACCGAAAAATTATCAACATCGATCGATTTTCTGGTATAGCCAACAAAAATTCGGAATGGCTTAATACAGTTATTGAAAAAACGCATAGAACCATCAAAGCCTTAAATAGGACGCCAAATTTGTATAGGAGCTATATATGGACTTGCGTAGAAAATTTTCTGCATGGATGTCCTTTACCACAAAGTATCCGAAATACTGAACAATTCTTTTTTAACCCACCAAAAATCCGTAATGCAAATATGCGGTTATTTCGGTTGGAAAATCCACTTCAAAATACTGAAAATAGGACGGGAACTTTGTATGAGTAATAATCCGAACCATGATCCAATTTTTAATATATGAGATCAAGGATCGGGGTAGCCCCCTATATAATGGTATCTCCATATATTCAACCGAATTGACTTTAATTTGACGTTTCAGATTTTCAGGTTGTAAAAAATTTTCCTCCTAAAAATATCAGTATCTAGCGGGAACTCCCCATTTTTTGGTATTTCAAACGTTTAAGCAGCGTTTTCACACCGAAGCTGTCGTAGTTTTCGGTATTTTGAAAACTTTACCCAAAATTTACCACCAAACGAACAGTAATTTGACATTGCGAAATTTTAAAGTACAATATAAATATATGTAGAAAATAAGAATATAGGTCCATGTACTGA